ATATTTTGGCTGAGTTTCAGGATGACACAAAAATAGGTGAGAAGGCGAATGGTGAGGATGACACAAAAAGTCTGCATGGACAAAGACAGGATACGCCAGAGGGCAAAAACTTGGCAGATAGAATATAATGTGGAGAAATGTGAGGTTATGCACTTTTGCAGACAATGCTTCTTTTTGTGGGTAAATCTAGGATTAGAGGGCGTAACCTCAGAATAAGGGGTTGCACATTTAAAATAAAGAGCAGGAAGATTTTTTTTCTTGAGATTGGTTGGCTTGCCGAGCTGGTTTGTTGTTCCGCAGACGTTTCGTTACCGTGCTCGGTAACATCCTCAGTGCAGCCTCTGATGAAGCGTCGGTGTGTTTTCCTGCCTGGTTTTTAAACTCTGGGGTCCGTTGCGATGGATTGCCTCACTTCTGGGTTTCCTCTGTAGTGGAATGTATATGGGGTCGAGTTCAATGTGTTTATTAATAGCCTGCTTCGTGGAGTGCCATGCTTCCAGGAATTCTCGTGCTTGTCTCTGCCTAGCCTGTCCCAGGATCTTGGTGTTGTCCCAGTTGAAGTCGTGGTTCTCCTTGTCCATGTGGATTGAGATGAGTGAGTATTGATCGTGTCTTTTTGTAGCCAGTTGGTGTTCATGTACTCTTGTTGTTAGTTTCCTTCCTGTTTGTCCAATGTAGTGTTTCTCGCAGTCTCTGCAGGGGATCTTGTAGATGACATTGGTCCTGTCCATGGCGGGGAGTGGGTCTTTAGTTCGGGTGAGCACTTGTCGTAGGGTTGATGTGGGTTTGTGTGCCACTCTGATGCCCAGCGGTCGTAGAAGTCTTGTGGTGAGTTCTGACGTGTTCCTGATCTAGGGTAGTGTGATGAGTGTGTCGGGGCGTGTCGAATCTTTCTAATGCTGTGCCTGTAGGCATCTCCTGACCCAGTTCTTTGGATATCCATTATCCTTGAACACTTGGAAGAGGTAGTCCTCCTCCTCTTGGCATAGTTCCATGTTGCTGCAGTGTGTTGTCGCCCTTTTAAATAGTGTTCGCACGCAGCTTCGTTTGTGTGTGCTGGGATGGTTACTATTGAAGTTCAATACCTGGTCTGTGTGTGTGGCTTTTCGGTGTACTTTCGTTTGCAGTTCCCCATTTGTCTTGCGCTCTACCATGACGTCCAGGAATGGGAGTGGTTTGTTCTTCTTCTCCTCTCTGGTGAATTTTATTCCGGTGAGGGTGTTGTTTATGAGTTTGTGTGGCTCTTCTAATTTGGTCCATTTAATGATGACAAAGGTGTCGTCTACATAGAGTATCCATAGTTTAGGTTGGATTTGTGGAAGGGCAGTCCTTTCCAGTCTTTGCATCACTGCTTCTGCTATGAGTCCGGAGATAGGTGATCCCATGGGTGTCCCGTTGATTTGTTCGTATGTTTGGCCGTTGAAGGTGAAGTGGGTGGTCAGGCATAGGTCCAGTAGTTTAAGCACGTTGTCCTTGGAGTTGGTTTCACTGGGGTCGTGTTCTTGTTCAAGTAGTGTTGTCATTGTTTCCCTTGCTAGTGGTATGTCTATTGACGTGAATAGGGCAGTGACATCAAACAATATCATGGTCTCTTCGTCCTCTATCTTTGTCTTTGATGGAGTTGAGGAATTCTTGGGCTGAGTGGATGGAGTGGGGTGATTTGTTGACTAGGTGCTTGAGTCTTCTTTGTAGTTCTCTGGCTAATCTGTGCGATGGAGTGCCTGGTAGGGAGACTATGGGTCTGAGGGGGGACTTCCGGCTTGTGCACTTTAAGGACGCCGTAGAATCGGGGTGTGTTGTTTCCTTTGGGTTTCATTCTTAAGAAGTCTGCTTTGTGGGTCTAGGACCAAAACGTCAGCCTTCCTGCTCGGCCTGCTGTGTTCATCCAGCTCTACACCTTGTTATCTCAGATTCTCCAGCATCTGCAGTTCCTACTATCTCTGCTTTGTTGATCTGTCCTGTTTGTTTAAGTCTTTGTAGCGTGTATAGGATTTTGTTGCCCAGTTGTGGCGTTGGGTCAGTTTGTACTGGCTGGTATGTGTTCTCGTCGGCGAGCAGTGCTTGTGCTTTGGAAATGTAGTCCTTTTTATTCACTATCACTGTCATGCGCCCTTTGTCTGCAGGTAGTATAGTGATGTTCTTGTCCTTCTTTAATCTGTCCAGGGCTTGTCTTTCCTGTGTGTTGAGGGTGTTGAGTTCCCTCTTTCTGGTTAGTGTTGGGACTACTGTCTGTCTTATAGTTTGTTGTGTTTCTTCATTGATTCATTCTTCATTCGTGTTTCTTCACGAAGCAGGCTATTAATAAACACATTGAACTCGACCCCATATACATTCCACTACGGAGGAAACCCGGAAGTGAGGCAATCCATCGCAACGGACCCCAGAGTTTAAAAACCAGGCGGGAAAACACAACGACGCTTCATCAGAGGCTGCACCGAGGATGTTACCAAGCACGGTAACGAAACGCCCGAGGAACAACAAACCAGCTCGGCGAGCCAGCCAACCTCAACACCCACAATCTGAGCTACAGATGTACTCCAAAACCTTAGAGATTTTTTCTCTTTTAGAGGGTTGTGAATCAGTGGCATTCTTTACTGTAGACAGCTAAATCATTATAAATGTCTGTCTCAAACTTTAAACATACTTAAATAGGTAAGGGAATCAAAAGTTGTGGGGAATAAGGCAGGACAGTTGAGAATGATTGGATCAGCCATGGTTTAATAGGCTTGATAGGCTGAATGGCCTATTTCTGCTTGTCTTGTTATCAACTACATTCCTAGTTTCCCTCCGTATGTAACACCCACTTTTCTTTTCATGTGCCTAAAAAGGAATTTATAAGGAGATTGGAGTTATAACTAGTAGAGTTACATCTAGTTATATCCAAATGGTTCACAAATTGTCTACCTGTAACTAGAGTCTAATTACTCCTAATAAATTGCAACTTTTGTTAAGTACAGAAACTTGGCCTGTGTTTTTTTGTCAACCCAAGTCTGAAAATCAGGTAAATTGGAGAATTCTGTGTATTTTAATAAAAAAAAAATCTAACTTTTGTAACATCTCTGGGAATAGCAGGGATCAGTTACACAGCTCTACCCCAGCGAGGCGTAACACAATCAATTAGTGTGTCTGGCGCCATGTTCTCACTCGCATTGCACTCTTAAAACAAATTCCTAATCCCTGCAGGTCTTATAATTACATTACCAAGATGGTATGAACATCACAGTAACAATCAGTAATCCTTGCCGAACTGACAAAAGATTTAAATTAAACAATGTACATGGCAATGGCAACAGAGCAGATATTAACTAAAGCAATTTTTAAAAAGTTCAGGGAACTCCAATCGCTCTGCTTGATACGAAATATGAAATCAAGAACTTGCTGATCTAAAGCAGGGACTGCTTCAATTTCTTCATCTGACCATTAGGAACATTTAGTGGCAGACATCACATACTACAATTAAACCATAGAATTGTACTATGGTTTATATCGCCAGCTCCAATAATTTGTTAAAGCATTTCATTTCCATTTTGGGTATTCAGTTCGTTATCTTTCATTGTCTCTCTGGGGTATACTAACACTTCAACCTAGATGAGTACAAAATATACGTTTGGCGATCAATCTACAGCAGTAAATCAACAGAGCTAACAGAATGTTGCATTATTCTGTGAAATTCTCAGAAGTTATATTAGAGTTTTATGATACACTTGTTAGGTCACACTTTGAAAATGCATTAATTCTGGTTAGTGAAACACAGGAGTACCAAACTCTTGACCTCTTCCACTCACTCACCTCTATTGCCTAGCTTAATGGAATTAGAGTCACCCAATTCCACTGTTACGTGATCTCCTGTAATGTTTATTCTTCTCACTTCCACTTCCAACACCTCTGGAATCTGTTTCCATGCTACTCAGTTTAAGCATTAATTTACAATCAATAATTCTGAGTACGCACATTTTATTGCATTATTACCTTTGCATTATTAGCCCCACATAATCAGTTGCTTGGCATTCTTGGATCAATCATCAAGTACAGTGAGCCTATAAATTTCCTGTATTTTAGTCTATGAATGATCTTTGACACATTAAGGCAGCAAGAACAATTCAATCAAGGTCAGGTTTAGTTATAAATCCTGACTTATGGCCTGTTATGAAGAAAAAAATGTATAACATTCCAGATAATATGTATGTCCAAGTATTTTTAGCTATAGTAAAACTTCAAGGATTTAATTTATCAGCATTTTTACATCTGTTTGGCTGAAGGCTCTGAGCAATGTTCACATATTCATGTCCTTCCAGATTGACTTTGTTATTCACTGATGATGCATTCACCTGAGAAAACAGAATTCAATTGTGATGTACTGTAGTTTCATTAATGTCATTTAAGGAAGGAAATCTGCCACGCTTTCCTAATCTTGCCAATATGCAACATATCCCACACCAACTTGACTGATTCTCAACTATCCTCTGGAGTTGCTACATCAAAATGCAGTCATTCAAAAATAGCAACATTTTCATCTTCTCAGAAGAACTAGGGATCAGCAATAAATGCTGGCCTTGTCAGGAAAACACACGTTGAGAATCAATATTGAAAGGGGAGAAAGAGGAAACTTCAAATGTACTTCGTTATTTTAAAATGTTCTTAATTTGTTTAGTTAACTAGCAATATACTGTGAATTGACATGACGACAACAGTCACGAATTCTGCAGTAAATATATGCCAAATATATTGCACTGTTTTTGTGCAATGTAAAATTGATAGTTTCTTTTGCTTTAAAACTTAGAAGAAAGTTGATGGACCTGATCAATCACTTGTTATTTCTTTACAACAGCACAAATACTTTTCTTCAAAGTAGCAGAGCAGCAAACATTAATAAGCATTATGCAGCAGTATAATGAAACATTTCATATGTATTTTGGGATAAGAACTGCACATGAGGCAAATAGTTAATTTACAACAGATTGAAGAATATACTCTGACAAATACAGAAGGCACAGCATCAACAGAATTCACTTTTTTCCTTTTATTGTCCAAGTACCTTTTAAAAGATAATTGTACAAGTCAGCACACTGAAAGATGACTGAAACCAGGTAACTAAATCTTTTGACGTGCTGCTACTTGAAAACATCATCTTTAGAAAATGTACATATTTACAATGGAAACCCTTAGAAAAAAGGGAAATGCAAAACCCGTGATTGCAGGGCCACATAAAATCCTGCTGGACATCAAATGCAGGAGGAGAAACCATACTGCAGATCCCTGGATGAGGAGAGCTAACCCTCAGTCATGGGGGTCACATAGCATCAGACAGGTAACAGCATTGAATATAAAAGGCACTCTGTGATGTACTCTTATTTACACAATACCTTTCTGAAACATGGTAGGCTGTTCCTTTGACTGCCGGATTTTGGGAAAATTTGTAACTAATTATTCTTTCTGTATAACAGACTGAAGACCCGTCATTAGTTTTGAACCCAGTTCTACACAATTAGGCAGCCAAATGGCAGTAAATGAAACTGTGTGGGGGAACAATGCCATCAGAATGGTGGGTGGGTGGGCGGTGAGGGAGCAGCAGCATGACAGTTTGATTGTTTACATTGTTAATAAACTGGCAGAGTAATGAAAGCCCAACTTGCAGTGTCAAGTTTTAAAACCAGAATCAATGCCCTTTTGACAGTTATGAAAGTAAGAGCAAGGACACCTGATATAAATAAACCAGCACACAATGAAATTTGACAGATGAAGATACAATTTTTCTCCAACAATTCCCAGCTTGAATATCCTGACTAAAGTCATTAACAGTAACTTTTACTGTATAGGCCTTTTCTCCCCCATGACAATGTTTGCCTCAGGAAGTGAATTTACTAATTTTTTTTTAAAAAGGCTGTATTTAATACGCCATTAAAATTGAAGCTGGATACCAATAACTGTAACAAATTGATTTATTTGAGGAAAAAATGCTCAAATACCAAATGTTATAAAATGCTAGTGGTTAGAGCATTTAGAATGAATAGTTTGGCCAGTAGAAGATTTGTTTTTGTTGCCAAGGACAGTATTTTAAAAGTTGGCTGAGGGCAATTTTAGTCCTGCAACAGATTAGCAACACTTCAGTACTACTGAACCCATATAATTTAAAGGATGTTTCCAGTTCAAAGTTTGCAAAGACAAAGACATTCTGGGTGTGGGTTATTTATGATTTATTGAGCTAGCTGTAAGAAATTATGTACTTCATGAAGAATAAGCTGAGTGGTCATTTGCGATGAGAATGGCTTTATATTCAGACCCCCACCTAACCTTGAAAAATACTTAAAATTCATGATTTCTCCAAAAACAATTCTAGGACCACTAAACTGAGGTCAATATAAAACAAAATTACAGTTTGCAGGAAAACAAATATGTATTTGGATCTGCTTCAAATTAAACAAAAAAACTGGTGCCTTTTATGGAACAAGTTGAAACTTCTTTACCTGGATATTTTGAACTGAATAGTGTACAAATATTGATTAAATTTAAACTCTGTATGCACCTGTATTAGCTTGGCAATGGAAAAGCAGCATATCATTTACATTGCAAGTTGCATGCTTAACACTAACATGAATGATAGTTTCAAACTAAAAAATTACAGTGTTGTTGACTTTTGCAATATCAGTTTCATGCTGGATAAGTTTTGAGAATTGTTAAGTGTAAGATATTCCAATTTTAGAGTTTGAATCTGATTCTAAGTTGATGATTGACAAAGTTATTACCCAAGACTTGGAAGGTGCTAAGGTTAGCAAATCAATCCATTGCAATATAGGCACAGTGTTCCATCAGCTTCAACAGCAGCAGCACAATATGTAATATTGTGAAATGGCATTCCAAGCCAGATTTTCCTATCACTTGGGACTTAGTAGCTAGGATTTAAGAGGTCCTATTTTCAAACCAGATCTGTGTGCCATAATGTGCAGAAACTGGAAAGCAGCATCACCGTAATAAGTGCTAGGTACCAACAAATCATTGGTAGTGGGTGGGGAATTGATACCGGTCAATCACTTTCAACATACATAATCCCACTATGTTGGGTTTAACTAAATTGTGCAACATTTTCATATGAAAAGGCCTATACAGCAGTATTTGCAAGGGTGGCCTATGTAAACTTTCTTGATAGACATTTTGTCCTGATAAGACAACAGAATCAGTGATAATCATCCAATCTAAAATGGAGAAACAATTATAAATGGTTTGAAATATGGACCAAATACCTATTATTACAGATGGCTGTACACATTTGGTGAGCTCAAGTACCTGTATGTATGTTTTAAAATAACATAAGAGCACTGTTACATTAAAAATGCTATTTTCCTCAGATTACATTATATCAAAAATATGCAGCTTTAGTAAACAGTTTCATATTACAATTTCTAATACAATTTTACAATGCTACATTACACTTAGTGTTTGAAATATACTGATAAAGAGAAGATAATGCTGCAAACATTCCCATCAAAGGACTGCCATGGCAGACCTTGGTGTTGAAAGCACCATTTTTTCTGCTGTAATGAGCAGTTGCAAAATATCCCTGTGGAGAGTTGGAAGCCTTTATAATGTCAGCATGATGCATTTCCACAGTTAACAACCGTGACCCCCGGTAAAGTAATTTGAAGTACTCCAAGCAGCTGAAACTTCTCTTGTACCATAACAGACTCCTCTTCATGGCCATCTTGCATTTAGTCAATTTTTTCCACCTTTCCAATAATTTTCTCTTCAAAAATTGGCAGAATTGCTTCCTCATCACGCACCTCTTCAAATACCACCCCACAATCAAACTCGTCACTTACTTTCTTGAAATAATACCTGCAAAACAGAAAAACAATTTCTTAATTTACCATTTAATAGCACTAGTAACTGGATGAATTTCAAAGTTGACAAGTTTAAAAGAATAATCTTTTATACAAAATTGATAAAGACAGCAGTTTAAAAATAATCAGTGTTCAGTAACAGTTTGCAACAATTTAAAAAATTCTCTTTTAGTTTAAGTATTTCTGATTCATAAACTACCCGAGGCAGAAAACAGGTAGACAACTTTCTTTTGTGATTATACAAAGAAAGACCGATTAGAAACGGATTCTGTGGAGATTACAGACCCTGTAAACCTTCTCATTCTCTCAACTGATACATTAAAATTCTGCAATGGTGGAACAGACCTACTTAGTCACAGAGTTGTGCAGCATGGAAATAGACCCTTCAGTTCAACTTGTCAATGCCAACCAGATATTCCAAATTAAATTAGTCCCATTTGTCCCATATCCTCCAAACCCTTCCTATTCATGTATACATCAGATGCCTTTTAAATGTTGTAATTATCCCAGACTCCGCCACTTCCTCTGGCAATTCATTCCATACGTGCACTATCCTCTGCATGGAAAAGTTGCTCCTTAAGTCCATTTTAACTCTCTCCCCTCTCACCTTAAAGCTATGCCCTCTAGTTTTGGATTACCCTACCCTGAAAAAAAGGCCTTGGCTATTCATTCTATCCATGCTCCTCATGATTTTATAAACCTCTATAACGTCACCCCTCAGCCTCCGACACTCCAGGGAAAATAGCCCCAGCCTATTCAGCCTCTCCCTATAGTTCAAACCCTCCAACCCTGGCAAAATCCTTGTAAATCTTTTCTGAACCTTTCAAGTTTAACAACATCTTTTCAATAGCAAGGAGAACAGAATTGAATGCAGTATGCCAAAAGTGGACTCAATGTCCTGTACAGGACATCCCAACTCCTATACTCAATGCACTGACCAATAAAGGCAAGTGTACCAAACACTTTCTTCACTATCTTGTGACTCTACCTTCAAAAGGAACTATGAACCTGCACTCCAAGGTCTTCTTGTTCAGCAACACTCGCCAGGACCCTATTATTAAGTGTGTAAGTCCTGCTTTGATTTATCAAAATGCAACATCTCACATTTATTTAAATTAAACTCTCTGCCCCTCCTACTTCTTAGTTTCTAACAAATTAAGTCAAATCAACCAATTAAGAACTCGAGCCAAACCTCAGATTGGTGTCCACAAAAATGACACTTAGTGTCCAGTTGCCTGCCACTTCAACAAAGCACTGTGTTCCCTGGCCAATATTTCTGTTTTGGGTCTGTCGCGGTGCTCCAGTCAGACTCAGTGCAAGCTGAAAAAATAGCACGTCATTTGTGCTTGGGGATCATGCAGCCTTCAGGACTCAATACAGTTCAATAATTTTAGAACCTGAACGCCTTCTTCCATTTCCTTTACCCACCCCCAATACTCCAGGTCCTGTCAGGATGCTTCCAGCACAGACAATCCATTTTCACCTCCTTATGGTCCCCATTGTGATGATACTATGGCTTTAAGAAGTATATTCTGTCCTGTTTTTTTTTCAATGAAGAACACTGAGGTCAGAGGTGCCGATTGGTTTGCTTCAAAGTCCAGAAACTAAACATCTTGGGAGGCCTTGGGGCTTTTAAATCTAATGTTGGAACATTAGAAGCAGGCAGAATGGGTGGGGTGAAGCTTCCAAAGAGCCAGGATACTTAGTTTTAGTTTTTCAATTGCCGTTGCTGGCGTCTTGATGCTGGGTGTGGAAGCTGCAGTGCATCGCTCCCGTCTACATGCACACACGTTTTCCCTTGATATTTTCTCTGCACTGCAGAATTGCCTGAGAGACAATGTTATTGAATTTTGCCTTTTGCCAAGATTGTGTTTATAGGATGGTTACCATATTAGAACAGTGAATTAGCAGTAATTAACAGTTATTAGTAATAATATATTATTATTTTGTTAAGCATTCCAATAGAGTTATAGTTTTGCCAATTCTTTTATTTTATTTTATATTTTAATGGTAGCGTAAAAATAAAGTGTGTTTTGCTTAACATCTAGTAGTTTGACCAATCAAATTGCATCTGGAATGCAACACCTTATACTTCTCTTTAAAGTAAGAAAAAAAAAGTTACAGTCGAGGCAATCTTCTGATTATAATTTGAGGGTGCATGGTCTGTTCCATCACACCATTATCAGCATTTCTTTCTCCCTGGCAGGGTATCACCCTTCCCTTTGACTTGCTAACTCTCATTCTCTCTATCTAGGCTTCATCTGTCTTTCCACTCACTCCTACCCACCTAACATCAACCCCCTGTTTTTGAAATATATCACCTTTTCTAGCTATCAGTTCTGAAGTACGGTCATTGAACATTAACTCTGCTTTCTCTCCACAGATGCTGCCAGACTTGAGTTTCTCTGGCAATTTCAGCTTTTGTCCCAGATTTCCAGTTTTTTTTTGTTTTATTCAAAGTGAAATCACTACTCCCATAAATTTGCTTAACTACTGAAAAAACAGGTTTTAGTGGTTCTGATTTAAATATTTTACATTTATCTACAAACCAGGCAAAAATATAAAATAAGCCTTCACGAAATTGGCAATACATGAAATCAAGCACAATATGCCAACATGCAAATAAACATGGGAAAATTGAACTGAGTTGTTTAGAAGTGCCAGATGACCAGGGCTTCTGAGCTGCACATGCGGAAAGGTTACAGTCTAGCGATAATACTACTAGGCAATTAATCCAGGCACTTAGATAATGTTCTGGAGACCCAGGTTCGAATTCTGCCACTGCAGATGGTGGAATTTGAATCCAATTTAAAAAAATCTGGAATTAAGAATCCATTGATGACCATGAAACCATATCGATTGTCAGAAAGACCCATCTGGTTCACTAATGTCCTTCAGGGATGTCTACCATCCTCACCTGGCCTGGCTGACATGTGACTCCAAACCCACAGCAATGTGGTTGACTCTCAACTGTCCTCCGAAATGACCTAGTAAGCCATTCAGTTGTACTAATCACTACAAAGTCTCAAAGAAATTAAACCGGATGGATCACCAGGCATCAACCTAAGCACCGGAAAAGACAATGGCTGAAACAGCCCTGACGACCTTGCAAAGTCCTCCTCACTAACATCTGGGGATTAGTGCCAAAATTAGAAGAGCTGTTTCACAGACTAGTCAAGCAACAACCTGACTAGTCATACTCATGGAATCATATCTTACGATATTGCAGACACCGTCATCACCATCCCTGGATATGTCCTGTCTCATTGACAGGACAGACCCAGCAGAAGTGGTGACACAGTAGTATACAGTTGGGATGGAATTGCTGTGGGAGTTCAACATTGACTCCAGACCTCATGAAGTCTCATGGCTTCAGATTAAACATGGCCAAGGAAACCTCCTGCTGATCACCACATACCGTCCTCCCTCAGCTGATGGATTGGTATGCCTTCATGTTGAACAACACTTGGAGGAAGCATGGAGGATGGCAAGGGCACAAAATGTACTCTAGGTGGTGGATTTCAATGCCTACCACCAAGTGTGGCTTGACAGCAGTACTACTGATCGAGCTTGTCAGGTCCCAAAAGATATAATTGCTGGACTGGGTCTGTGGCAGGTGGTGAGGGAACCAATGAGAGGGAAAAACATACTTGATCTCATTCTCACCAATCTGCCAGCTGCAGATGCATCAGTCCATGACAGTATCGGTAAGAGTGACCATCGCACAGACCTTGTGGAGACGAAGTCCTGCCTTCACATTGAGAATAATCTCCATCGTGCTATGTGGCACTATCATTGTGCTAAGTGGGACAGACCTCGAACAGATCTAGCAACTCAAGACTGGGCATCCATGAGGTATTGTGGGCCATCAACAGCAGCAGAACTGTACTCCAGGTGTAACCTCATAGTCTGACATATGCTCCATTCAACCATTGCCATCAAGCCAGGGGATTAACCCTGGTTCAGTGGAGGGCATGCCAGGAGCAGCACCAGACATACCTGAAGATGAGGTGTCAACCTTGTGAAGCCACCAAACAGGGCTAACAGCAAGCCAAACAGCAAAAGCAGCAAGTGATAGACAGAGATAAGCGATCCCACAACCAATGGATCAGATCTAAGCTCTGCAGTCCTGCCACATCCAGTCATGAATGGTGGTGGACAATTAAACAACTCACTGGAGGAGGAGGCTCCACAAATATCCCCATCCTCAATGATGGAGGAGCCCAGCACATCAGTGCAAAAGATAAGGCTGAAGTATTCACAGTAATCTTCAGCCAGAAGTTCTTAGTGGATGATCCTTCTCAGCCTCTTGCAGTGGCCCCCAGCATTACAGATACCAGTCTTCAGCCAATTCGATTCACTCCACATGATATCAAGAAATGGTTGGAGGCACTGGATACTGCAAAATCTATGGGCCCTGACAACATTCCGGCAATAGTATTGAATACTTGTGCTCTAGAACTTGCTTTTCCCCTAGCCAAGCTGTTCCAATACAGTTACAACACTGGCATCTACCTGATAATGTGGAAACTTGCCTAAGTATGTCCTGTACATAAAAAGCAGGACAAATCCAACCCGGCCAATTACTGCCCCATCAGTCTACTCTCAATCATCAGTAAAAAGTGATGGAAGGTATCATCAACAGGCTATCAAGCAGAACCTGCTCAGCGACGCCCAGTTTGGGTTCTGCCAGGGCCACTCAGCTCCTGACCTCATTGCAGCCTTGGTCCAAACATGGACTAGTTGAATTTCAGAGGTGAGGTGAGAGTAACAGTCTGTGATATCAAGGCTTCATTTGACTGAATGTGGCATCACAGAGCCCTAGCAAAACTGGAATCAGTAGGTAGTGGGGAAAAAACTCTCCAGTGGTTAGAGTCAAACCTGACACATAGGAAGTTGGTTGTGGATGTTGGAGGGCAATCATCTCAGCTCCAGGATATCTCTGCAGGAGTTCCTCAGGGAAGTGTCTTAGGCCCAACCATCTTCAGCTGCTTCATTAGGTGGTCAGAAGTGGGGATGTTCGCTGACTATTGCGTAATATTCAGCACCATTTGCGACTCCTCAGACACTGAAGCAGTCCATGTTCAAATGCAACATGATCTGGACAATATCCAGGCTTGGGCTGACAAGTGGCAAATAACATTCACACCATGCGAATGCCAGGCTATGACCATCACCAACAAGAGACAATGTAACCACCGCCCCTTGACATTCAATGGTGTTACCATCACTGAATTCCCCACTGTCAACATGCTGGGAGTTATCATTGATCAGAATCGCAACTGGACTCACCACATAAATGCAATGGGTACAACAGCAGGTCAGAGATTAGGAATACTGCGGCGAGTAACTCATCTGACTCACCAAAGCCTGTCCACCATCTACAAGGCACAAGTCAAGAATTTGATGGAATACTCCTCACTGGCCTGGACGAATGCAGTTCAAACTACATTCAAGATGCTTGACACCATCCTGGACAAAGCCCATTAGTCTGGCACTGCATCCGCAAGCATTCACTCCTCCCACCACTGATGCTCAGTAGCAGCAGTGTGTACTATCTGTAAGATGCACTGCAGAAATTCACCAAACATCCTCAGAGAGCACCTTCCAATCCCACGACCACTTCCACCTAGAAGGACAAGGGCAGCAGATACATGGGAACACGGCTACTTTCAAGTTCCCCTCCAAGACACACACCATCCTGACTTGGAAATATATCGCTGTTCCTTCACTGTCGCTGGGTCAAAATCCAGGAATTTACACCCTAATGACATTGTGGGTCAACCACATCAGGTGGACTGTAGTGGTTCAAGAAGGCAGCTCACCACCACCACCTTCTCTAGAGACAGGGCAATACATGGTGGCCAGCCAGTGACACCCACATCCCGTAAAGTGAATTAAAAATAAGGTCACAAGTTCCAGCAACTTTGCATTAACATAGTAGTAAGGGCATCACTTTCTTTAAGCAAAAAGCCCTTAATAAATGGGCAGCCTCATAAAAAACTTCAATCAGCAAGTTCTGAACAATGATCTGAAAGGATATTGAAACAACCCAAGTCTTGGTTTGGGAATTTACACAGCCAGTCGTAGCAAGAACCATGGCTGCTGAGCTTACTTAATTGTTAGACAGGCATGGCATCAATCTTCTCAGCGTGGGAAAACCTTCCTGGATTTAAGTTGGAAGATGAATGGATCGGTGTAGGTTTTTGGATGTCAGTGGTAGGATGTTGATTTGGCTCCTCAATAAATAAATTGTCCTGATTAAATGGCAACAGTACGTCCCCCATGCCAATAGAAGGCCATCCAGCGAAGCTTGTCAGGTTCTCCCATGACTCCTGAGGAGGCAGTCCCTTGTTATCTGGTACTTATCACATAATTGATGGATCCAGGATCCAACAAGGGGTCTTGTTCCCATTGCTGGTCACCTATGCTGCAACCCCATCCCTTTCCCCAGCCAACTACAAGCCAGTCCCCATCCTTCCTTCACTCCCCTGTGGCCTCAGGTAGGTACAGTGCTGCCAGGAGCCATAGCTCCTGCTGGCATAAATAAGGAGATGCCACAGTTTTTGTCAGGCAGGACATATATTGCCAGGGACCTCAACTGGAGGATAAAGCCGAACGGTGACCAATTAGGGGCACTCATTCTGTTTGGCCTTCTATTCAAAACTAATGGGAGCTCCATGCCACCTCTCCAAACTGATGGGCGAGACCATTGTTGGCCCTACAAAATCCCAGTCATAATGTTTAATGCATTTCTGCATAAAGTCATTGCTTTTTATTAAAATGGTAATTCAATTTCTTCTGTTCCCACGTAGTTATTTATCTTGTAACAGTCTTTTCAATTAAAGTTGTTTTAAACCTTACTGTTCAGTGATTGGCCAATTTATCTTCACTGCAGTAGAAATTTTAAGCTGGACTTACATACCTGTAATTCCCTTTCTTAGTCAACAGTTCCTTGAACTGTCCCAATGTGACCACGCGTCCTTTAACGGATGTCCTGTATGGAATTGGCTCCCCACAGAAGTAGTATGCCACCACAATGTTATCACCAGGCTGGGATACACCATTTGCTGACTTCTTTTGAGGTTTATGCCTATAATGGAAAGATATCATGTTGAGTTTTTTTACTTCATCATACAACTAAATATTGGTAAAATGTCTGCAAAAATAAGATTGAATTGAGGAAAGTATCAGCACTTTTTTTGTTTTACTAAACAAACCAAAAAAGTATAAATAGTTCCAATTAATAAGATTACGTTAGACAACTAAGTGATGTTAACAAAAATTATTGACTTCACTGAAATATCTGGTTATTCTAACACTTCTCAAATTCATAGTCTCCTTTATTTTCAAGCATAAAGCAAATTTAGTTGTAAAGAAGGTCTTATGCGCTTGGAAGTATTTTAATCCATTCACATCATACACTATTACCTTTTGTTTCAATTTGAATTGCGACAAAATGATGTGTGTTCTAAAATATCTGGTTCTCATGAGAAAGATTTGTGATTATTCAAGTTCATTTTTATAATTTTTAAGGAAGCTGATTTGAATTTAACATAAAATGCATAGAGCTAATACTACAATGTTTAGGCAATTGAAGTTCTTTCTTAATAACTGACAATCCCCAGTAAAAACTGACATGATAGAATAGACCCGAGGGGCCAAATGGCAACCTTTGTCACCAAGATTCTATGTCGGAAGGTGGTCCTCGAGAATTACTCCATATGCAAGTTGGCAGATGAAGGGCTCAATCTTACTACAGAAAATACACCACAGTAATGCTGAAACTTAACAGAATCTGTCTGAAGTGCATTGTCTGATCTTATATTCATTTGTTAAATATCAACGAGTGCCCTCTTCCATTACGTGGCTCTCTAACAGCCTTGCTGCTCCACTATTCCCCACAAAGAACAGCTTGGAATTAAGAAAGTATCTGCGAGTCAAATAAATGAATTATACATCAACTAATGCACTGTACACCTGTGAAATTTGATCAAAAGGGTATTGCTAACTGAGCTAAGGATTATAAAATGGTCACTGTCGACATTTCAGTTCCACTTGTAACCACGGTTTTCAAATTATAGTAAGACATAATTGAACCCAAAGCAGTCAGTGTTACAAAATTGTAATAAAAAAGTGGAACAAAAGATCAATCATCTCAACAATATGAGTTCTTCATGGAGAAAAAGTAATGATGAGCTAGAGTTTATTTTGCCTCAATGCGTATCCCTTGTGGACTGATGCATAACAATACTAAAGTAGGTATTGAAATCAACTCCAAGCACTGGATTGGAAAATTGATTTGAACAGGAAATCTCAATGGTCATTAATGTGGAGTTTAATTATCAAAGAAAAACACTTAAAATTATTAAAATCTATTGTGATACAAGGCAAGATTAACATTCAAACGTGTTAACAATTGTAATTATACTATGAAAATAAAATTTAAATTTCTCTAATTAGATTGGAAGGATTAATGAAGCCATTGATTACACTGGAAACTGTGCAAAAATTGAAACCTTAAAATGATAAGTTTGAATCATTTTTAATTTGTCACATTTATAAATAAGGGTCCAGATTATAAATGATGTTTTGGCAACAACTATGTAAGATTCAAACCAACTGATGTTATTATGCATTTGTTTGTTACTACTTCTGATAAGTAGTTAATATAACAGTTGTGTGCTGTTGTATGCTTTACATCTTAAAATGCACACTGATACAGGCCCATGTAATCTGCAACAAATGGAAATAGTAAGTGGCATCGATGGAATGCAAGCTTGATAACTGACTGCTTTGTACTGTAAATATTCATGATAATTAAGATTATTCATGAGATGGAAAACCTCTAGCATGGGAAATATTGCACACACTTACCTTCTTCGATACAGCTTTTATTTAGATACTCTCAAGCGGTTACGTAAATGTAGCCAAATGTCGTTTGAAATCAAACTGCAGCATTTTCTTTAATCATGCCAGTAAATTTAAGATTAGAAGCACTTTTCTATTGCCACAGCAAACTAAGCTTACTGGCATGATGCAGTTACTAATTTGTTTCTAGAAGATGAGATTACAGGCACAACTGATTATGTGAACTGCACCAGAGGATACTACACCTCAAGTATCATTCTCATTCAATTTCCTCCTATGCAGCTGTGAGATTCAGAGATGGAAATGTCTGATGGAATTTTACAGCAATAAATCTAATGTCAGTCAAATATGCATGGAGTTAGCGAATACTTACATTGTCAAAAATTGATTATGATGACATCCAAAACAAAAAAATTAATAATGTTAATATGAATAATATACTTCAGACATAGTTAATTAAAATTCAGTGCAATTAAAAATCTAAAGCCTATGTGCAAACTAAAGTCTAAACCTAGGATGACAGAGAATGCATCAACAGCATTGGGACGTACTCTGACTCAGAGAGATCCATGTCGGAGACGGCTGGTACCACATTCAGCACCGGAATGCATGCAGGCCTGATAGAAGTGCGACCCCGTTGGATAACCTCTTGCACATACCTGCAGTGTCATGGAGAATAATCCTAGGAATTAGAATGCTCTACTCCAGCTACCTGTCTGCTACCTCCTCTCTCATTAACAGCCAATGCTACACACTCAGTGCATGCTTTATCTGCTGCCTTACTCAGAGACAGCACTCAAGTTTCATTTTATATTATGGGATTATCTTCTTGTCTATATGATATTGTTTTAGGCTTAAGTCTTGATTTCAAAGTTTCTGCCTAGTCATCAAATGGGACACGTGAATGAGCAAGAAAACAGCAAAGAGGCAACTCATTAAGTGATTTCCATGGATTATTAACATTGTACACAGCAACATCATGTGTAATCTCTGGAAAACAATGAGTTAATTCTAGGTATGCCCTGATAAGACATATACCCCCACAGATCTATTACAAGTTAGAATTTTAATTTGATACAGAATCAAACACTCTTAAAATACTATGTGCAATGCATATGATTGCCAATAATTAAGCATTTTTTGGCCACATGATCCAGTAATAAGTATTAACTTATTACAATATATACTTTATTGAAATGAAATGGGTTATTTCTTTCTAAATGCTGCAATAATTTACTTAAACCTGCACCTGATCAAAATTATAGAAATTAATAAAATAATTTATTTTCATTTCTAATTTAGGTTTTGATAAAACATATCTGCAAATGTGTCATTTAATGTATATATTACAAGTTATTGCACTGCACAATAAGTTGCTACTGTGTTGTTTTAAGGATTATTTGTAATTTCAAAGCTTAAGTAGCTTCTAAGAACCTTTCTCATCAGCCTCATCATACCAACAGAATGTGGATTGCCATTAACTAGTGAAAACACATACTAAAAAGGGTTGGTTGCAAGGAAACAGTTTAGAATTATACACACGAATCCAGAAGAATTGACCTGTTTGATCTGACTGCATTTGAGGCAGTTTAAATATTTTGGTAGATCATCACATTTAAAAAGTATGTTCTCTGACAACCTGTGACAACATAATTGACACATATTACAACTGAAACTGGGTGCAATGGTGCACAGTGCAAAACCAAAATTAGCCACATTTTATTTCACCATTGACTATTTACAAATGGCAAGAGTTCCAAAGCTCTGAAACCCATATCCTGAGAAATCCTCAGTGCAAACGTTATACTAATTTAGAATTTGATGATGATTTAGGAAGCGTATTTTCCACATGGCAAAAAATAAACTGCCCTGCAAAAGCCAGGCTCTTCCTAAAAAGGGAAACGATATTGGGAATCTGTGATTTGATTCAATGCGAGCTACTCGCATCTGACAGTCCTAACAACAGTGGAAATAATAAACTTTCAAAATTAAGAGGAAATTAATTTGCTAAAGTAAAAATGTTTTTTCCTACATGCAGCACGTGATACTGAACTTTTCAGCACCCGAATCTAAGCAAATATAGTCAGATCAGATTTAAAACCTTTGACAAAGCAAAAGTGGAATGTAATTAATTCTCCTCACCTTTGCTTGGACTGTAGCTTGCCACTCTTCTTTTCCTCTTCTTCGAGCCGTCTGCGTGCTTCTTCCAGTTGAGTCAGAGGGTTCGGTGCTGGATTGGGTGGCATGGTTGGATCCTGAATGAATGGGTGTGACGGTTGGACAGGATTTCGCAGTTGTGCACTGACCCATGGGTGAACAGCTCCTGGCCTTTCAATTGAACTTGGTCTAGTATCATGACTAGGTTGTTTCTTAGCCCCGATCAAACTGTACCAAAAAAAAAGAGGAATATGTGTAATTAATTTAGCTTTGCAAAAATCAGAACATACACAGTAGAATGAGGAATTTTGGTTCATATTGAGTTATTTCATCATAATCTCTGGGATTTTTAAACTTGAAAAATGTGACATACTTGTAAGTCATAGTAATTGTTAGCTCTGTCACAATTAGGAGAAAAAAAATCACTTTTGGGGATTTCTTTCTCTTTGAGGACAGTGAGAAAAAATACAAACGTTGAAAAGGATTCACATGCAAGATTAAAATATTAAGTAATACATAATATTATGATTTCAAATATATAGAAAAAGCATACAGAAGAGCAGCAGCATTTGGTCAAACATAAAAATGTTCTCTTACTTATGTGGAGCCTTTTTGTGCCTGTGAATTTCCTTCTCTCCTTCAATTATCCATTGCATAATCTTCTGATTCCGCTCCATGTCCTCCGGAGGAGCAGGGGTTTCATAACTCACAGCGTCTGCCTTTCCTGGTTCAGTCTTTTTAGTATTTCGTCTCGACAGTGTGTTGACTTTACCACTGCACCACAATATTCAAATTAATCAGTATTTTAGAAGTTTCAATGGTAGTACAACTGCTCAGTTTAGAACATTTAAAAGAAAACATCAAGTACTTGTCTACACAAATAATAACAACAGCCACTTAATTGCGTTTTGGCATGAATTCAGATGATCTTTGACAACAAAAATTTATTGACCATATCTATAAAACCATGTTCACTGCACTGAGTAGTCCAATGGTTTAAGACACTGGTGCTTCACTTTGGGCTGTGGTTTCACCATGGAAGGAACTGGTAACAGAAGACTGAATAGATTCAATCCAATAGCAAATGTCAGTCTTACTTCCGTGGTGGGCAAATTATTGGAGAGGATTTTGAGAGATAATCATAAATACTATTTGGAAAAGCATAGTTTGATTAGAAGTAGTCAGAATGGCTTTGTGAGGGGCAGGTCATGCCTCACAAGCCTTACTGAATTCTTTGAGGATGTGACAAAACACATTGATGAAGGTAGAGCAGTGGATGTGGCATATATGGATTTTAGCAAGGCATTTGATATGGTTCCCCAGGGTAGGCTCATTCAGAAAGTAAGGACACATAGGATTCAGGGAAATTTGGCCATCTGGATACAGAATTGGCTGTCCAATAGAAGACAGAGGGTGGTAGTAGATGCCAAGTATTCAGCCTGGCTCGATGACCAGTGGTATTCTGCAGGGATCTGTTCTGGGACCTCTGCTCTTTGTGATCATTATAAATGACTTGGATGAGGAAGTGGAAGGGTGGGGTAGTAAGTTTGCTGATGACACAAAGGTTGTTAGAGTTGTGGATAGTATGGAGGGCTATTGTAGTTTGCGACGGGACATTGACAGGATGCAGAGCTGGGCAAAGAAGTGGCAGATGGAATTCAACCCGGAAAAGTGAGAAGTGATTCATTTTGGAAGGTTGAATTTAAATGCAGGATACAGGGTTAATGGCAGGATTCTTAGCAGTGTGGACGAACAGAGGGATCTTGGGGTCCACGTCCATAGATCCCTCAAAGTTGCTACCCAAGTTGATAGGGTTGTAAAGAAGATGAAAGTATGGTGTGTTGGCTTTCATTGGCAAGGGGAATGGAGTTCAAGAGCCGCGAGATTATGCTGCAGCTCTATAAAACCCTGGTTAGACCACACTTGGAATATTGTGTTCAGGTCTGGTCGCCTCATTAGAGGAAGGATGTGGAAGCTTTAGAGGGGGTGCAAAGGAGATTTAGCAGGATGCTGCCTGGACTGGAGGGCAGGTCTTATGAGGAAAGGATGAGGGAGCCAGGGCTTTTCTCATTGGGGCGAAGAGGATGAGAGGTGACTTGATAGAGGTGTACAAGATGATGTGAGGCATAGAATGGATAGCTAGAGAGACTTTTTCCCAGAGCATAAATGACTATCACGAGGGGGCATAATTTTAAGGTGACTGGAGGAAGGTATAGGGGAGATGTCAGAGGTAGGTTCTTTGCACAGAGAGTGGTGGGTGCATGGAATGCACTGCTGGCTGTGGTAGTAGAATCAGATACATTAGGGACATTTAAGTGACTCTGGGATAGGCACATGGATGATAATAAAATGAAGGGTATGCAGGGTAATTTGATCTTAGAGTAAGATAATAGGTTGGCACAACATCGTGGTCTAAAGGGCCTGTACTGGTATACGTACTATGTTCAAACACCATCCCTAATTTATCACTAATTGGCACTTACCATTAGAGGCACAGAAGTAGGTGATGGACAGATGAACAGAGGCTGGGATGTGGCCAAGGGAAGAATATAAACGACGTCATACTTGTGAAGGTAATAGGTTTGGCTGTAGGACCTTTACTGTGTTTTAACTGGCTTGAGAGTGCTTATAACAAATATAATTAGAAATTGGCAGATTCCACTACTGTAACAACCTTCATTGGATTTTTTTTTTGTTGCTCATCGATGTCAAATATTCATAGAATTAGAACGCTCAATTATAGTACAATGCTTACATTTTAAATTTTTAAAAAAATGACCTGGGTAAACTGGTGACTTTGACAAGTTAAATTAATTCCCTCCCTTTGTTACTGACAGAATGAAATTAAGATAGGTGCCTTATATTTGAACTGCTCCAATTCCCCCTCTCTTCTGATTAATTCCAATCCTGTTCAACACTGCCATCAACACCTCCTCAAAAATATCTTTGGAGAATACAGGGAGGGGCAGCAATTAAGAAGCACAACGTGACCAAAGTTCTTGAATTTGTCAGTGTTCCTTATGTGACAGGTATAGAATTCCTTTTGACAAAATCAAGCTGGCTTATTACTCCCTTCTTCAGGGTGTCCAAATTGTCAACCTGTTGCATTTATCCAAATTGATTAAGTCGCTGATCAATTTAAGATGTGTACTTCATACAATTCTGGTTGACCTGCTATTGGAAAGATGTTATTAAACTGGAAAGGACACAAAAAAGATTTACAAAAATTTTACCAAGACTGGAGGATTTGAGTTATAAGGAGGGGCTGGATAAGCTGAGACTTTTTCCCTGGAGCGTAGGAGGCTGAGGGGTGACCTCAGAGGTTTATAAAATCATGAGGGGCATAGATAAGGTAAATAGACACTGTCTTTTCTCCAGGATAGAGGAGTCCAAAACAAGATGGCATAGGTTTAAAGTGAGAGGGGAAAGATTTAAAATTACCGGAAGGGCAACATTTTCACACAGAGGGCGGTTCATATGTGCAATGAGCTGTCAGAGGAAGTGGCAGAGGCGGATACAATTACATTCATTTGATAGACATTTGGCCACATACATGGATAGGAAAGGTTTACAGGGATATGGGCCAAATGCAGGCAAAGAGGACCAGTTCAGTTTTCAGAAATCTGGTCGCATGGACAAGTTGGGCCAAAGAGCTCGTTTCTGTGCCGTAAGACTCTGACTCTAAGTGACGATGGATTTGAATGAAACACTGGTGTAGCCTTGCCTTAACGTGTAAAATTCTTGTTGTTACTACACAATGGCATTAGAAAGGGGACAACAAAAGGTAATCAAATTAACACCTTAAATTATATACCCAAGGCATGACAAAAGGCCATGAACTGAAATTTTTACACTAGGGAAAAAGAGAATCTGGAAATATGACTGAAATGTTAAAGGTAGAAATAAATTGAACATCTGAAAGTTTGCAGTTACATTACATTTTACAACATTCAAGCTAACATGAAAAGGTGAACTAGCGATTTAGATTTATTCTAAACTGACTGTATTTATATATCGAATAGACCAGCTGGACAGACACATACAATTAGCAAATACAAGGAGGAACTAGATAGATGTTAGCAGAGGTAAAGATTGACAGGCCAGATGGATTCCATTGGTCTCTTTATGTACATTCCTAAGTTCCTAAAGAGCATGAAATTTTCTTGACATCAGTTTAGTAAGAAAGTATTAACAGATGTATGAAAATGTGACGCCAACTCTAGTAATCACCGTGAAATGAGAGAGACCAGGAGAAAACAGGGTTAAAATTCAGTAAAAACATTTCTCGGTTTCTCTTCAAAGACATTGTGAAATAAATTCTACCAGAGAATGCTTGAATTTCAAGCTCCGATTTATCAAAATCATTTACAACCAGAACTTATGTCCTCTTCCCCACCCCCATGACCATCCCTTCTGCTCTGTTATGAAAAATATTCAGAGTCTTTCATATTTTCATGACATTCCAAAGCACCTCACAATCAGTAAATTATTTTTGAAGTTCAGTCACATTATGGGGAACATGGCATCAAATATTTCATCAGTAAATTAATAAATGATCAGATAATCTTCTTCTGGTGACACTGGCTGAGGGAGCAATATTGGCCAGGTCACTGAGACGTCACACTTCCTCAAATAGCACAAGATCTCTAATATTCGAACAGGCAGGCAAACAGGACCTCATCTGAAAGTTACCATGGTAATAATGTTCGATCACTCCATCACATTCTAATACATATATTCTAAAAGGGAATTCGACAATTTATAAGAGCTAGGAACTGAAGTTGGCAACTCAACCACTCGAGACTGCTCCACCGTTTGATATATTCATGGCCTCAACTCCACTTTCCTGTTTGGTCCCAATAACCCATCAACCCATTACCAAGTAAAAATCTCCCCTTCTCCCCCTCAAATTTATACTCTGGGGTAGTGAATTCCACAGATTTATGTCCCTTTGAGAGAAATAATTTCTCATCTGTTTTAAATCTGCTACTCCTTATCCTAAAACTATGACCTCTTAGTCTAGATCACTCTACATGAGGAAATGTTCTTTTGTCATCTACCGTGTCAATCTCTTTTAGCATCTCAAATACCTCCAATTAGATCTCCTCTCATTCTTTTAAACACCAGAGAGTATAGGCCTAATCTCCTCTTAAGACAAATCCCTCATCTCTGAAATCAATCTAAACGAACCTCCTCTGAATTGCCTCCAATACAACTATACAAGTTTAGCAATACAAGTAAGGGGACCAAAGTTGTAATGGAATACTCCAGGTACAGTCTGTACAGTCTGTATAGTTGTATATTTGCAGCAATACTTCTCTCCTTTCATACCCTACTCTTATCAATAAATACCACAGTTCCATTTGCGTTCCTTATTACCTCCTGTGCCTGCATACTAGTTGTCTGGTGATTCATGCATGAAGACACCTATATCTCCCTTTGCACTGAAGCACTCTGAAGTTTCACTCCATTTCAATTATAAGTTGCCTTTCTATTCCTCTAAAATGGATAACCTCATACTTATCCATCTTAAACTTCATCTGTAAAGTTTAGGCCCATTTACCTAATGTATCCACATCCATTTTAAAATTTTTTATTTCCTCATTGCAACTTACTTTCCCACCTACTTTCGTGTCATCTGCAAACCTGGCTACAGTACTTTCTATCCCTGCATCAAAGGCATTAATATGAATTATAAATAGTTGGGGCCCGGGGCCCGAGGCCCAAACCCTGTGACATCCCTGTAGTTGCATCTTTCCAACCAGAAAAAGACCCATTTTCAGTTGGTTAGCAAATCCTCTATCCAAGCTAATAAACTACCCCAATCCCACGTGATCTTACCTTGTGCATGAACTTTTTGTGCAACACCTTAGCAAATGCCTTCTGATATCCAAATATACTACATCTACAGTATCGCCATTATCCAAATGGCTTGATACATCTTCAAACAACCATAGCAAATTGGTCAAACATGATTTAGCCCTCATAAAACCATGTTGACTTTGATGGATAGTATTTTAGCTTACCAAGTGTCCTGTTATTACTGTCTTAAAAATGGATTCTAATAATTCCTCAACATGTGTGAAACTAACTAGTCTGTAGTTTCCTACTTTCTGTCTCCCTCTCTTGATTAAAGGTGTTATATTAGCATTTTTCCAAACCACTGGAACCTATCCCACATCCAGGCAATTTTGGAATATTACAACCAATTGATCCACAATCTCCACTGCCACTTCCTTTAAGAACCTAGGCCGTAGACCATCAGATCCTGGGGATTTGTCTGCCATCAATTGCAATAATTTGCTCATGACTTTTTCCCTTGTGACGATATTTATTGAATGTTCCGCTATAACCTCTGCATTACCTGTTACTATTGGCATGGTACTAGAGTCCTCCACTGTGAAAACTGAAGAAAAATGACTCTGCTAAATCTCCAGTCTCATCTTCTGAGGGACCAACATCTACAATAGCCACTTTAGTTTTGTTGTAAAATCTCATACCTGTTTTACAGTTTACTTATTCTGTATATCTCACAGATATGACCATTCTCCTGTGCAATTCCCAAGTTAATAGTAAGGCCTAAATGCTGGACATGGAATTTCCTACTCAAGTCCCAAAACTCAGCTTTGAGCTTTTAAAAAAAATCCAGGAGAGGTGTCATTGTTTCTCTGGAAGTGCTTGCATGTTCAATTCTGAAGCTGTAGTGACTGCTAATATTTGGAACATGGCCAGAGATTGCCACACAAGGAAAGAAAGAAAATTAATTTCATCAATCCTAATTTTGAACATTTTTCTAGCCCTAAATTAGGATACTGAATCTCATTGCTTTTGGTTTAATTTGAAGTAATGTTTTGTTTAATCTTTTCGCTATCTTGCGATACTTATGAGATTTTCTGCTCAATCTTCTTTTAAGGGAAAATAAACTCAAATGTATTAATTCAATCTAATGATATTAGGGATTAGTGCTGCATTGGATTGGTTTAGTGATTTCTGAAAAAAATTCTCCAGATTCATTGCTCTGTTGTATTTTGGCAATCTGACTGAGACCATATTCTCTATCCAAACATGGCTACTGTACCTCATAATGTAACAAGTTCTGATTTTCAGTTATTTTTAATATGTACAGTAATTTGGTATTGCTGCTTCAGTGACCATATACATTGAACAAGGTTACAAAATTCATGATCTCTTCACAATCTGAACCTTAATATTTTAATAAATCTATATTAAATCCTTGGATGCAGGGATAGAATGTATTATAGCCACATTTGCAGATGACACTAAATCGGGTGGGAAAGTAAGCTGCAATGAGGAAATAAGAAATTTAAAAATGGATATGCATAGATTAGGTAAATGGGCAAAAATTTTGTAGATGAAGTTGACGTTGTCCAATTGTTCTTCCTATGTGCAACACCTTGCACTTGTCTGTATTAAATTTTACTTGTCACCATTAAGAAAACTCACACCATACAGTACCCAGCATGTCACTCTAACCTGAAGTCACGAAGAATGCACCCACTGTTTCAGGCAAAGCCTTGATTTATTTCCAGACCTCTAACATGCATCATTTTGGAGTCACTGTGAATCCAAATATATTGCAATTGTTCTGTACCACACTTCCTCCCTGACACCAAGGACAACAGTCACTAATTCTATTGCACCATCCATTCTTTGTGAAAATTGCTTGTCACTCCACAAATCATAAATGAAAGAGACAACTCCAAAATTTCTCCCCTTAAACATAAGTCCCTTGTGCATCAATAATCTCTCAAAGGTAAAGTCGCCATAGTCCTAGAGGACCACAGGGCTGCTCTTTCATCAGAGAGATGATTGGAGGTCATTTAACCTGAGAGTTACCACGCTTGAGACGATTGAAAAGGAGGGTCCTTCATGCTAACTTCAGCCAACGCAGGAGATGAAGCCATGCTGCTGTATCATTCTGCATCACAAAACATTTGTCTACCCAACTGAGCTAACCGACCCCCTCCAATAACCTATGTACTCAACTGGAACAACACTGTGATAATTACATTAACCTTTTGTACAAAACCCAACCCCCAAGCACTGCCTCTTCTGGCTGTCCATCACTTGCCAAGTGTTCGCCTAACAGAGCTCTGATCCGTCCTGTTTACTTTGCTAACTTCATTGATCATTTGATCATCTTCAAACTTCTCCATTAACATGCCTCTCTCCTAGATCCAGAGTATAAATACCAGTCCATGTTTGGTTTCTGGCCCATTTATAATCTACATGCAAGAATCTTGGAAGCATCTTATACACTAGGAAGGAGGATCAAGCTCTGCTTTAGTATCTTTGATTAACTGGAAATCTGTTGGCACATCTTCTAACTTCCCAACTAACAAAGACTTTGATGAGCCATAATTTCTTCCAACTTAAAGCTGGCAAGACCCACAACTGTAGTTTTAAACATTGTGTATCTAGGTTAGCGACATTTTCAGATTTCTAATTAGGTCAGGTCAGAAGGTACAGAAACTTGTTGTAATAATCAAGACTGAGTTTTCACGATGCATACTTCCACTAGGTATTACACATGTGCACTTCAACTAGGGTGACTGAATACTTATTAATAGCAAACGTCTTAGTTATATTTCCAAAGTCTCCCCTAATCAGTTTGAGATTAACCGTAGCATATCCACTTGAATCTCAATTAAGGTAATTGAACTCAACTCAGACCAGACACCAAACTTGGATCATCGACAAGGTTTCAAAGCAAGATTATATAATGTAATTACTTACTGAAGCATTATGTAAGCATTCAGGAGGAGTCATTATAACATTAGGAGCACAAAAACAATGGATTCACTTACCCATAATTCAAAGACTCCACTGAATTAGGTGCCATGCCCATGCTTTCAGAATAGTTTCTTGATTTTGTTGCATAGTGGTGTGAATCAGAATTCCAGAAGTTACTCTGGACTCTTTGTGTGGCTTCTGCTTCAATTTGTTCTTTTGGTTTCATCCCATTGTGATGGTGGATGTGGTAAACATGTTTGTGATGGTACATGTTTGGAGCCTCTACTTTCACACCAGTCTTGGACACATGTTTATGTCCTGAAGGTAGCACCGTTCCTATTAAACTTGTAGCCTTCCCACTGGATAAACCATCAGGAGATCGGGACTTTGGAGAGTGCCTTCCAGGTCCTGGAGACTGGCAACCTGGAGTCTTCATCACTCGCTGGACATGTTCATCAAGAATGGATTCTGGATTCTCTTCATGAGCATCACGCACTTGCAATCCGCCACAGCCCATCTCAGAATAACGAGAGTTAAAGTGGTGCATAGCCTGGGCAGGTGGCAGTTTGTGACTAACTACAGACGGACCTGATGAAACATCTGCATCCTCACCTTCCTCCTCCTACAAGAGAATCAAAGAAATATTTTAACTTTTAGTCTGTACTCAATATTGTTAAATGGTTGCTCCAACATTTAGATCCATCTTTTACAATTGACTCTACCTAAAATAATACAATACTACAGAACTGGTTTCAATCTCTCTTTTAGTCTTATTTGTTGTCATATTTTCAACTTTTGAGAACTTCTAACCATTCTAAGTAAATTAATTACTCAAAGTTGAAGTGGCAATATGATTATAGACCATTTTAAAAGTATTGCCAATATTTTACCCACTTGCTTATCATTATCTCTCTATAAACTGTTTGTACCCCTCCTACAACTTGCCTTTCAACCTATTTTTGTGTTGTTTGCAGATTTCACTACAGTACATTCATTTCCTTCCACCAAGTCATTAATATACATTGTAAACAGTTGTGGTCCCAGCACTGATCCTTGAGGAACCCCACTTATTACAAGTCGCCAACCTGAAACAAAACCCCTTATCTCCACTTGCTTTTTCATATCCATTAGCCAATTGTCTGTCCACGCCAATATTCTACGCCCAACACCATGGGTTCTTACCTTACCTCACAAAATCCTACCTTGTCAAGTGTGTTCTGGAAATCCAAATACAACACATCTACCAGCAGGCCTCTATCTATTCTGGTTGAGACTTCCCCGAAAATCTCTAATATATTAGTCAGACACAATTTCCCTTCTGTGAAGTCATTCTGACTCTGCTTGATTAGATTATGATTTTCCAAACATGCTGCTACTACTTCTTTAATAATTGATACCGACAGTTTTCCAACAATAGACGCTAGGCTAATCGGACTATTGTTACCTGCATCCGCCCCCTCCCTTTTGAATAGGAGTGTCACATTGGTAGTTTTTCAATCCTCTGGTATTCCTTCTGAATCCAAGGATTGTTGAAAAATTAGAACCAATACCTCCACGATCTCTGCAGCTACTTCTTTTAAGATCCTAGAATGCCAGCCACTAGGACCATCTGTCTTATCTGCCTTTAGCCCCATTTGTTTGTCTAATATCACTTTTCCAGTGATGGTGATAGTAATTAATTCCTCTTGTATTATTTAGTGTTGTAGATGTTCAAAGTATCTTTCACTGTAAAGACTGATGCAAAATATCTGTTTAACTTCTCTGCCATTTTCTTCTTTCCCATAACTATCTCCCCAGAGGGATCTATGTTCACTTTGACCTCTCTTCTTTTTAAAAGTGGTAATATGACTATAGCCTATTTTAAAGGTACAAAACAAATTTAAACAAAACACCATACAAATAAATCGTTAAGCCATAATCTAAAAATACGTTAAGTCCAACTAAATCATATTCTCTTTGAGTTTGTTTTAAAGTTTCTTGCCATGTTAGATACACATTTGTAATCTGACATAAAACTGCTATTATCTTTGAATATCTAATTACTGCAACAGAGATGTCATAACTGAAGTCTTAGGTGCCACATAAAAGTGATCTTAATAACTGGATAATAAACAAAAAGTCAACTATGGATCAAGTGTGGTGAATTGTGAAAGCAATGCGATTGAGGAAGTGATACTAAATTATGTGATAGGCCTGCAGATGGCACTATAGGATCAGTTTACAAATGATGAACATTAGCATCTTTTGACTAGTCACCAACTACAGATATTGCTATTTTGTAAGTAGATTGCTATTTGCAGCAAAATGCACATGAACAATCTTACGGGCTCTTTCCTGATTAAAGAAATAAGTTAAATCAATTATTAACTACATCACAGGATATATCTAGCTAAATATTAATGTTACTCAAATGTACTGTGAACTTCACGGAACTGTGCAAGAGGTGTGTAAGCATCACAAATTGTTTTAAAAACCCTAATCACAAACTGCCCAAAGGTATCTTCCTTCTACCTTTCTCCTACCCCCATCTTATTGGTGATGATAAATTGACTGTTACCTGCTTCACTACAGATTGCTACCACCAATGAATTCTTTATTATTCTGAACATCAACATTTCATTCAAAAATTCTTAAGGAAAACTATCTCATATCTTAAAATTACGTTATACTATTCATGTAGGGGATAAAACACCTGAAGATTACTAAAAACAGAAACTGAAACAGTTGCACAGATTTATTTCACCAGGCCAAATAACCAAAATATGGCTGCCAAGAAATACTTGAACGCGCAGCAGTAATTTCAGACCAATTAGTCATTCAAACAACACCTTGAGAAAGAGAAAATAGGCAGGAATCACTGTTTTTTCAGAAGTACGAACACATTGACCAATGCAAACAATTCAGCGCTTTGTGGAATAGGGAGGAGTTTACAGATTGCCTTTCCATCTACTACATTCACCAAAAGAGGCCAATTATGGAAAAAGAATAAATTTAATAAGGTGGAATAATAGGCAGAGTAAAACAACTTACTATGGTTTTACAATGCATTAGAAGCATAAGGGCATAATGCAAAAATAGCCAAATTTTCAGAATTCTATCACCCAAGATGCCATTCAGATTGAGAAAAACAAAGCTGAGAGGACATGTTAGCCACGGTCATGGCCAAATTGGTAAACACAGGAAACATCCTGGTGATGTGGAAATGCTGGTAGCATGCACCATCACAGAATCAACTTTGATAGATATTATCCAGGTTCTTTGGAAAAGCTAACATGAAACATTAATTCTCCTTGAGATGACAGTTGTTCTGCCTGACTATAAATCTGGATAAGCTGTGGACACTGGTCAGTAAACAGACCTGATTAAACTGTGCCAAGAAACCTGAAGGACTGGCACCTATTATTGATGGTGTACATGCTGGTTACTATAAAGTTTGGACAAAGGCAGGCTGCCTGAACAACCAGTCATTGACAAGGCAAAATTCTTCAGCTGGAAAGCTAAAAAGAAAATCAAAGGAGTCAGTGGAGCCTGTATATTGATGGCAAAAGTTTTATAATTGGGTGTACTAATACGTTTTTAAAATTAAAAGTAATTTAAGTCTGGATGCACAGATTTAAAAATAAATGTTTGCATGTTTAAGTTCTCTGAGGGGACTAATGTAATGTATTGAAAGATGTACTTATGATATCTTGAATGAATTTGTGCAACATTACATCATGGGGATCTCCTAATTGTACTACTTCTGGCTTATTTTTGGTTATCAGGGTCTCTGTTGCCACATAGCAAAACTATATAAACAAGAATAAAATACATTGCAACAAGTGAGAAGGCCAGACAAATACTGCCTTAAATTTGCATTTAAAGATTTCATTTTAGTCTGATGAGTTAAGATGCATTTAAGTTATGGTTTAAATTCTCATCACAAAACTTACCGCTCTTACGCGTTTTAGCCGTTCTTCCAGCTTTTCCTCCGCCTCTCGTTCTCGCAGTACACTTTCCAGGCGACTGATGAGTTCCGCAGCAAACTTCTCTGGTTCAACGTGGATATCCTTTGGCATCCGATACGTGCGCTAGGTAGATCAAGAGATTACAAGTCAATAAAGGGCTGACATTGATACAATTTTCTGAAAGAACTGCTCTCACAGCAAGCCAGTAAAATATTGAAGTGAGCTAATAGCATTTCAATTCATGTTGAAAACGCATGAGAAACAAGATCCAGCTTTACAAGAATTATGAAAGCGACAGTTTCCCTTTCTAAAATCAACAAAAAAAATCACTTGGAGGTTTCAACTTTATACAGTTAGCTTAGAGCAAAATGGTACCAAATGAGCACAGTTAGTGTATCTGGAAAATGCAAATTGGAAATTACAGAGTAAGTTGCACAGAAAAAGGACAAATTTATATAGATCTAATGCATTGCAGAGGAATAAAAGGCAAGACATGAAAAAGCTTCACAGCTAGTGTTGAAATGGATACTAAAGTTGGTCTGCAACAATATATCAACAAAACCAAACAAATTTCAAATCTACATTGATTTGTATGCTAATGCTGTAGCAAAGAAAATTGTAATGAAACCTTGTGTGTTGTATCAAGTTTTAGTTAGCAAGAGACAATCAACATTTGGAGGCAGTGCAAGGAAAAGGCATTATCTCTGATACCAGGTATCAGACCATGAATGAAGACTAGAAAAACTTCACAGAATCACAGATCTAACTGCACAGGAGGCACTCAGACAGTCATTTCTGCACTAGCTCTCCGTAGGAGCAATCAACCTGTGGCATTCCTCCTTTTCAGGTAGCAATCCAATACCCTATTCAATGCACTGATTAAACCTGCCTCCACCACACACTCAGGCAGCACATTCAAGATTCTAACCAATTTAAATATCAGGCAATTGATAAAAGAAGCAATGGCAACATGAAAAATATTTTTTCCACGTTGGCATTGCTTCTTTTATCAACTACCTTGTATCAGTTCTACCTGTCCTTGATCCTTCCACCATTGAGAAAGGTTTTTCCTCATCTACTTCTAATAGACGCCTCAGTTTCAACTATGATCAAATTTGATCTCATCCTTCTCTTTTCAAAGGAGAGCAGTACTAATGCCTCCAATCTATCTACATCCCCGGTCATTGAAAGCATTCTTGGGAATTTTTTGCACTCACTATTGCCCTGCATCTTCCCAAAAGTGAGGTGACCAGAACTAAACACAATACCCTAACTGAGGCCAAACCAGTGTCCTATGTAAATTTAACATAACTTTCTTTGCTTTTATACCGGATACTTCCATTATTAAAGCCTGGAAATCTGTATGCTTATTAATTAGTCTCTCAACATGTCCTGCCACCTTCATTGATTTAGTAGTACATACTCCCTGATCCCTCTGCTCCTGTATCCCTTGTAGATTTGTGGTCTATTTCTTACATTTTCCTTTGCAATCAAATTGTTTCACAAATCTACTATTTTCCATCCATTCCATCAATCTTCGAAGTTCCACACCATCTTGATGAAACTTGGAAGCACTGAAAAGTTTGAGATCATACACAATGTTGAAAATGTGCCCTGAATACCACGCCTCAGGTTATTACAGTAAAATTCCCACTATACGGACGATAAGCATCTGGAGTTCTCATGCACCTGACATCCAAGATTCAAAAGGGGAATTCCTGATGCTTGGGATCCAGATAACGGGTACTTAACTGGAATCAGCGACTGGAAGGGCATGACGGATCAGATGCTTTATTAAAGCAAGTTTAATGCTTACCTTTTTGATAAATGTAGAATCACCTATCATGGCCAGACATATCGATATGTACGAGTGGCCCCGGCTGCTCTCTCTTAAAACGCACATTCCCCTCGTGGCAGCAATGGGTTGACCCACCACTAGTACTGCTCATGCACCTGTCAGGTTCAGCCAGCTGGCAGTCCCCTTCTCCACGTGTACTGGATATCAGGGAGATTACTGTATTATGTATCAAGAAGTCAAGGATCCTAACACCAACTGCAGGGGTATTTTGCTACAACCATTCCTCCAGTCAAGAAAACATCTTTTAGCTACTGCAAGCTGCTTCCTAACACTCAGCCAAATTTGTATTTATGTTACTAATACTCCTTTTATTCCACAAACTTGGGCCCAACCCATAATGCAACTATCCGAGATGTCATCTTGTTAGGTCTTGGAAAGTGTTGTAAAGGAAATGTAATCCCTGTTGAAATTAAATGGGACAAAGGTTATAGATTCAACCTAGAAAATTTAGGACTAATAGACAAAGTCAAATGGAGCAGCCCGATTAGCTAAGGTGGATTAAAATACATAGGATAATTGTGCAAATGTCAAGCTTCACATAATATTGGTTGATTCAGGATTTCATTACAAGACAACTGACAGAAAAATGTGGCATACAGGGAATAAAGTTATACTGCTGGAGCTGTGTTACAACATGGACAGGAAAAGAGGAGCACGTTACTCACTGGCACCTAAACTGTCAGTTAAACTTCTGTATTAAACATCTTACACAAAGTAATCTTTGTTAACATAAGTGATTAACATTAAAACTCCAATGAGTCCTACTAAAATCTGCTTTATACCTGTTAGATTGAGAAATAGCCTCAAGGTGGCCTGATTCTTACTACCTAAATCCAGTTCAGGTAATTTCAAATACTTTATAGTTGAGATGTGTGTAAAATTCAGATTTCTTTGCATTGGCACACACTATGGGGTCTAAAGCCAGGTCAGTATACACAGCATCCATGAAACATTTTAAGATTGGGTTTGTATTCCTTGGCATTTAGAGGAATCAAAGGAGATGTTAATGAAAGGTACAAGACTCTTTAGGGGGCTTATCAGGCTACATATGGAGAGGTTTTCGCCTTTCCTTTCCACTTCTGGGAGAGTCTAGGGCCAGACAGCATAATATCAGAGTTAGGGTTCTCCAATTTAAGACAGAAGTGGAGTTTTTCTTTGAAGGTAGTGAATCTGTGGAATTCTTTACCGTTGAGGCTGTGGCAGAAATAGATTTCTAATTAGTTAGGGTATCAACAGTTACGGAGAAAAGGCTTGAACATAGAATTGAGCGTTATCAGATCAGTCATAATCTAATGCAATGGCAGATCAGACTTGATGGGTGAATGTCCTATTTCTGTTCTTACATCTTATGAATCAGATTCTGGGGATAGGATGCATCTTTGAAATTTGTGACTACATTACCATGCTTAGCCACCTTGGTATGAGGTTTGTGCAGAAACAGTACTTACAAACTAAACTATTAACACTTAAATTGCACCACTGGCAAAGTTATGAAAATGCATATCGTTAAAATACAATAATGTATTTCATCCTGCACTGCTGAAATTGGATTATTTTTAGGCTGTTCCGAGTTACTTTCTTTTTGGGCCTTAAAGGTCCTTAAAGGTGGACTTGCAGGTAGACTGGATGGTGAAAGCGGCCTATGGCATGCTTGACTTCATTGGTCAGAACATTTGCGTATAGGAGTTAGGACGTCATGTTGCAACTGTAAGGCCACTTTCAGAATACCGTGTTTAATTCTGGTCGCCCTTCTATAGGAAGGATGTTGTTAAACTTGAAAGGGTGCAGAAAAAGATTTACAAGAATGTACCAAGGCTGGAGGGTTTGAGTTATCGACAGAGGCTAAATAGGCTGGGAATTGTTCCCCTGGAGCACAGGAGACTGTGGGGTGACCTTAGAGGTTTAAAAGGTCATGAAGGGGATGAATAGGGCGAATATCCAAGGTCTTTTTCCTTGGGTGGGGAAATCCAAAACTAGAGGACATTGGCTCAAGGTGAGGGGGGGAATAATTTAAAAGAACTGGAGGGCAAACAATTTCATTAAGAGGGTACAGTGTGTATGGAACGAACTGGCAGAGGAAGTGGTGGAGGTGGGTATAATTACAACATTTAAAATGGCATCCGGATGGGTATATGAATAGGCAGGGTTTAAGAGGGATAGGGGCCAAATATTGGCAAATGAGACTAGGTCAGATTAGGATGTCTGGTTGGCATGGATGAGTTGGACCAAAGGATCTATTTCTGTGCTGTATGACTATGACGATAATGAATGTGTCAAACCTGATTTTCCCTTCATTGATTTATAGCTGTACTGTGATCATCAAGTTTAACAGGGTTTCACAAGTAAGGATCACAACAATATGGTCATAAATTTGTATGAACTGTAACTTCAGAAATTTAAGCAAACACTGCTACAGTTGGATGGTAACTTCAGCTGAATTACAAGTATTTAAGTTAACAAATGAGACGCTGTAGTTTTGAAGGGAAAAATGTCAATTCACCCAGTTAGACTGGTTAAAAAAGTGTTGGGGAGAGTTATGTATATTTAGATGAAAAATTACTTGCACAAAAATATTCAAAGTTGCTGTAGCAGCTTTAGGAAATAATAATTAGATAGTGAAATTATTCTGCAAATTCTATGCACTGGTTAACAGCTACATCTGGGACAAACAGAACAGCAGAATGCTCTTTCAAAACATAATCGGTTTAATTTTAACCTAAACCACCTGTGGGAAACTGACAGGACTAGAATGGCTGAACCCAGAACTCAAAAGTGCACTGTCTGAAATCAATGCAAATCAATCATTAGACAGGGGCTTAAAATGGGTATTTGATTCAATTCACTCAGTTTCCTGCTAGGCGGGTTGGCTAAACTTACATTATTGCCTAGATGATATATGCATACACATATGTAAGTCAGAATATTACATCAATAACCACTGAGGATGATTTTCTGAGGATTATGTAACAACATTCATAAAATGTGGCTTTTAATTAAGTTTATTTCATTATACGCAGTGAACACAGGAAATCTTCTCTCCAGCTCCCTTACACCCCCGCAGTTACAATTTACTATAATGCTGAAACCTTTTTTTTGTTACTCAGTGTCCATTCTTCACTTTTATTGAGCTACAGTGCTATTTGAGAGACCTTAATTGTGAGGATAAAAGCCGGGAATTTAACAGCATGTTGTGCCCTTCTTTTCAAAGCTGACATTTATTTTTCCCTTGCTTCAAGTTTAGCTTTTATGCCAATGTTCTAAAATATCTCATTGCTATAGTTGAAATATCAGTAGATTTACATCTCAAATGATTCAGTGCTTTGAAGTCAGATGAAGGGCTTCAGAGATTTTGTGTAAATTGTAACATTTTATTGTTAAGCTATGAAGACAAGCTAAGATAACCTACTTGGATATATCTTTTATTTCAGATCTAACTTGTGGCAAAGCCAACCAATTTTCCCCTATTCAGTTTCATCTTTTTAGAAGTGATGAATAAAACAGAATCACATCCGGATAAGGCTGATCAGTCGAGGCTTCTCTACAGCAACCATGCAGTAAAAGCAGCAATGTGAATGAACAGAGGGCTGCGCAGCTGGGAATAGCCAGTGCCCAATCGTTGTAGCTATTCACAAGCAAATGATCAAAGCTGAAGACTAGGTCTTCTGCAGCTTAAGGATGAATATAATCTAATTTAAAGCCAAAGCTAACTGAACTCCCTTAATAAGATTAGTTTGATGGTGGATTTACTTTTGCCATATTGAATGTGAACAGAGTAGAGATTGAGAGAATCCAAGCTGCTTCTGGTGAAGAACTTACGACTGTACTGATGGAATTAAACCCAATCTGATTATCCTTGCGCGAAGCTATCTCAAGTCAGAACAGCTAGAAACTAACTCTCTATTATGTCATTGGCAGAGATTTCTTACTTCAGCGAAGAACAGTGCACTGACATTCGACAAGTTTAGGATCATGATAAATAAAACTGTGGTTAATAGCGACACTGAAATGTCTCATGTTACTCTAGTTTTCCTAACCAATTAAGGCACAAACCTTCAAATACTGAACTCAAAGTTGGAGTGCATATAGTACAGATTATGGACTACAACCTCAGACTTGTTTAATTTTTTTCACTTTGGTTACAAATTCACAATTATACACAAATAGTTCTGTATGGCTTCACTCGTTTACAAACAGCAGCCATCTCCATTCCTTGGAATCTGCTTAGAACTTGGTTCCAGACCTCTAACTTCATATAATGATATAAATGGCTAATGCAATTTTTTTTTGTAGGTTCGGCAAAACAAAGACTCAATTGCACAGTAATGTGGAACTGTTCAACATTAGTCGACATCAGAGAAGCAACAAATCTAAATTTTCAATGTAATCTTCTACAGACATGTTGTAGATATCAAGAGGTTGCCAGTACATCATACAAATTGTTCTTTAATAATTTTTTTTCTACTGGTTTGGTAACTTAAAATTTGTACAGGAGATGCGAACTGACAATGAATACTAGGACCATTATATCCGTTAGTCACCCCGTTCTTAGTTACAGCACAGTTCAAACATGCAGTAGATAGTGTGGGAATACCAGATTGGAGACCACTTCATAATACCCCAATTTTCAACACTGAACTAGATGCTGAAATAAAATACAATATCGTCTTCACAAATACTTTTATTCTTTGCACCTAAAAAATGGGAGTAAATAAAAATACTTGTTCTGATTTTTTATTTTTCACTGCATGGTTCTGGCTTGATCTTAAAGATACAAACAGCTATTTTGAACTGAAAGAGATGACCTCACAATGATAATTAATGTGAACCAATCACAAAGCAACCAATTGGAAAAGACTGCATTAATTGGTAAACAACACATGGTAGAATTAGTTCAGGTTCACTGATCAAAGGATCCTTCTGAATCCTCCTGGTTTTGAGATCAAATGTTTTAATAGAAAAGTTACTTTAAAGGTGAATGGCCTTCCCCAGCATCTTGCATAAATTTGATCTTTTTTGCTCAAGCGGAACATCTTAAAAATTTAAAATATATATCATAACACAAAAGTAAAAGTTGGGATATTTATGATCTCGTTTTTGAAGCTGATATACAGCTAATATTATCTCATGCACAAACACGAGATCTCATCTGTTTGCATTTATAGGACTCATCATGAATTAGTTACAATGACATAAGTTGAGCTTTTCTTTGGCATATATACATAAATATACATCTTAGTTGTAATAAGGAATCACTGTCTATTTTAGACCCTTATCCAATTAAATTTGCAGGTTTAAACATAGCTCTTAAATAGTAGCGCTCCACAAAGCTGTGTCATACGTACCTATCTCCAGGAGGCCTATAACAACATTTAGGATTTGAACTCCTGTAGTTAACTAGGAAAACACCAAAACAATCAATATTTCTTTTCCCCAATTGACTTCTTTTCTGTTTCCACATTCCCAATAGTTTGTGTCTCCTGTACCAGAAATAAAAAAGAATTGAGGGAATATTATCCCACCGTTCCTGGCACTCAAACTGGTTTACATCCCAGTTAAAGGACTTAAGTATTTGTAGAAATACACACCCTAAGTGTTAAAATGCATGAACTGAACAAAAATCAAGTTGCCACAAGATATTAAAAAATTGCTCTGGTAAAAGTCCTGATCAAAAAAAGGCCTTGAAGACTCCTACTGAAGTGTACCTCACCAAACTTAATTAATCTTTAAAGTTAAGTGCAGTACATTTAGCTAGCAACATCCGGCAACAGGGTACTATTCTTATACCAGTACCGATAAAAGACTCATTGCACTTGTAATAATTGTTCAATGGGCAATTCTTAAATGACAAAAAGATGGCTCTAATCAGGAGGATCAGCCACTGGTTTTCTTTCTGCTTTATGTAGGGAAGTATTTGTCCCTAAATAATGAAGTAGTCATCCGTCAATTTATCACTCAATTTAAAAATGTGTCTTTGACACAGATTTGTGATTACAGAAAAATATATCCTGTAGAAACTGTTCACAGCAAATATCAAGAATCTTTGGTTATGGACATTATGCAAGGAATTTTACAGAAGAAACGTGTACCTTTACTGAAGCAAAAATGGCTTGAGAAAGGATTCTATCGAAAATGACAACTCTTTTGGTCTGTTAGTGAGTGCCTTGGTATTTTCCGTTTGTGTTTCAGATTTTCAACACCTGCAGGCTTGCTTCTGCTTTTTAACTCTTTTTGCAGAACGCATACAAAACAAACTCCAATCTAAATACAAGAATGCATTTCACTACATTAGTTGATGCTCCAAGTCAGCCACTGTTTGCAGAGTTTGAAGATTTTGGTAAATATTATGACAACAGGAGAAATGACAAAGAACAATGAGATGAATTGGGCTTAGTTAAAATCTACCTTTCTGTTGAAGACTTTAAAGAGCCACACTCAAAAATGTTTTCTACTCACCTGCAGAAAGTATATTTGCAGGTGTAATACTTACAGGAATGTGAGGTAGAGGCACTCGCCCATTTGCTTTGGCACTTTCATGCATCTCCCGCCGATGTTGTTTTCGGATTCTATATGGTGGAATTCCATCTCTGCACAAAAAAAAAAGGCAGTTTCATTAAACCATAGCAGAATAAGGAATTATGAGATGAAATTATTCATGCCACCTTGGAAACTACGTCTGAGCCAAACAATATTTTACCAAAACGTACAATAGAAATACAAATGGATACACACTGTACCAGGAGAAATGTGCTGAAACTATAGCAAAGTTTATTCAATTGGATATTCAAGCAATCAATCCACATCATTATTGCGCTTCTCATAATATTCAACTGAAAAAAGGTAGCAAGAGAAGTAAAACTAGAAAAATAATAAGGCCTCTACAACAAATAGTTTCAGACAAGTAGCTGTGACTGGATTTTTTTTTCTCCTGCACATAGAGGTCAACTTTAGCAAAAACAGTGACACACTTCCAGAAATAGTATGGTGTAAGCTGACTTTCCAGGCCGTGTTGTAAACACTCATGTGCACAACAATTAGAAAACTTGCCCTTTGAAGCTGCTCATTTAAATCATTGGGCCTCCACAGTAACAACACTACCAGAAATAAAGTTTATAGCAGTTTAAGATATACAACTCTTGAAAACACTGATCTGTGAAGAAGCAAAACAACCCAGTGAACAGATTCATGTGTGCTTGAAGAATCCATAAGATAAGCAATCGGCACTATTCAGTAATCATTTTCAATAAATCACCAACCTGAATCAAGTTCTCTACCCGACATTGCCAAGATATTGCAAACAGTGGTGGCTATATTTAAATTTCCCATCACTGAACACTACCTATTAGTATTGTTTATCTGAAAACAATGGCAACTTAATTTTATTCAACTTTAATTAGGCATAGAAACTATAGGTCATTCATGAAAACATAAAAGTTGCTGGAAAAGCTCAGCAGGTCTGGCAGCATCTGTGAAGAGAAATCAAAGTTAAAGTTTCGGGTCCGGTGACCCTTTCTCCTGTTTTGTTGCTCCAAGTTTAGAAGGTAATCACTACATGTATTTTATATTCATTAAATCTGGCCTTTAATAACGTACTTTATGTGTAAAGCGCAAATAGTATTTTTTAAAAAATGTCCAGCAAAGAACCACAAAAATGACCAACGTTGACAAGGCACAAAAGATGAGAAAGCAAATAATGTGAGATATCCGGCAATATTCATCTTGTAAGAAAGAGTACCAAATATGCCACAATTCTGTATATACATTTTTTCTACAGAAAATATTACATTCTTAGATATGTTATGTTTGTATATTAGTTATATTATTTTATATTGGGGTTCATGTGAAAAGAAATGAGTCAATTTAAATAGGAAATCATGAGATCATGAAACAAGATAGTGATTTGGATAATAATAATCAGAGTATGTAAAGAAGGGAGAGTATACATTTAGCAGTGTATGAGTAGATAAGGGCAGTAATTGCAAGAATGGTAGAGAGACAGTTAAAGGCTCTCTCATTGAAAGTGTGCAGCATTTGTAACAAAATGGATGAGTTGTTAGCATGGATTGAAATAAAAACAGGCTGGTGGTTACCCTGCATCCACAGTGCCCAAGTCTGGGACCAGAATATTGAAGAGTATGAGATATTTGCAAAGAGATGAAGAAGTATCTCTATTAACAAATAATGCAATTGGTACAGTAGTGGGAGACCAAATTAGCTCACAAGAACAAGATATATAATTAATTTGTATAGAGCTAAGAAATATGAAAGATAAGAAGTCGCTTGTGAAAGTATTCCACAGGCCACTTAACAGTACACTGTGACAGTATACAGGAAGAAATAAGTTGGACATGTACCATACCACAAAAATCACAGCTGGGTTCAATCTACATGCAAATTGGGTGAATCAGGTCGGCAAAGATAGCCTAGAAAACACATTCATATTGCAAGCTAATGTAACACCTTTACCCAAGAATAGAGTGAGACAGAAAGCAGGAAGACTAGAGGTCACTTAATCTAACATCTCTTATAGATAAATTGCTGAAATCCATTAAGGAACCAAAAATAGGGTACTTAGAAAAGCCTCAGCAAGATCAACATGGTTTTATGAAAGGGAAATTGAGCTTAACCAAGTTATCAGGGTTCTTTAAGGAGTAACAATAAAGGTAGATAAAAGGGGAAACTTGAAGACATGATGCACTTGGATTTCCAAAAGACATTCGGTAAGGTACCATCAAAAGGTTACTGCACAACAATATGGTGAAGGAATAACAAGCGTGGATAAATAAGTTAGTTAACAAATCCTTAATAATCCTAACAGGAAACAGACAGTAGGAACAACTGGGTCTTTTCGGATTGGCAAGCTGTAACTAGTGGTGTGTCATAGAGATCAGTGTTAGGGTAATTAAAACAAAGAACTGCGGATGCTGCAGACTGAAATAAATGAACATAAAAATTGCTGGAGAAACTCAGCAGGTCTGGCAGCACCTGTGGATAGAGAAACAGAGTTAATGGTTCGAATCCAGTAACTTCTTCAGCGTTAGGTCCTGAACTATTCACAACCTACATCAATAATTTAATATCAATAAGTATCATGGGGGAAACATGAACTTGTCCACTTTGACAGGAAGTACAGAAAAGCAGTATCTCATTTAAATGGATAGACTGCACAATTTAGTGGTATAGTGTGATTTGGGTACACTGGTACATCAATTACAAACATTAGTATGCAGCCACACCAAATAAATAGGAAAGCAAATTTTGGCATTTATTGTGAGAGAAATTGCATTTAAAAGGAAGAAAATGTACAGGGCCTTGATGAAACCACAACTGGTATAGCTTTGGTTTCTTTATTTGCAAAAGGATATTATTGCTTTTGAACAAGTTGGCCCTTTACTCATTGAAGTTTAGAAGAATAAAGGTGAGAGTTTACTGTAACATGCAAGATCTTGGGGGCACTTGATAGGCTGAATGTTTCCTCTTGTGGCAAGACTAGAACCAGGCAACACAGATTAAGAATAAGTGGTCTCTCTCTTTTCAGCCAGAGATGAGAATATTCCCACCGCCCCACATTGTCAGTATGTGGAACTTTCTTCCCCAGAAAGCAGCAGCAGCTGGGATTTTGCATATATTCAATGCAAAGTTCGATAAATTTTGACAGATAAAGGGAGTCAAGGGTTACGAGATGTATACAGGAAAATGGACTGCAGACCGGAACCTGATCAGTCACAAGTGGATAAATGACATATTCCTGCTCCTGCGTCCTACATTCCCTTAGTACATTGAAAAAGCAATCAGCTCGGAGTTTCTAACACTGGGTCAAACTAAAACAGCTTTAAGTCACTGGCAACTTACTTATACTTTCAAGAAAAACCATCAAAGTGAATGAAAAATGGAAATTTGACTTAAGAGTTACCCTGATAAATTATTTTATACTTCCTCAGGATTGTTGTTGGATACAGCAGTTAAAATTAATTATATGGGTAACTTTAGTTATAAGGATAGGTCTGTAACAGCAGGATGAAGATCCATGTTACCCCAGCATACAATAGATATATATAGAGTTTGAATTCCCACATAGGGGTGCTGGGAAGTTTTGTTTTACACTTCAACGCCATCCTAAAGAGAAGAACATGTCTTTGTTCACATCATCATGGCAAACCACTGATAATGGCCTCTAATCTATCCAGTTTCAAACACATGTTCTGTCCTGCTGTGCTGGCTTTGATGTTCCCTTGGATTGATTCCCTAGTGCCACCTCTGAACTTGAAAGGTTTGACTATTTTAACATTATTTGCCAACTCATCCATTAGCAGCAAGTTCAAACAAAGCCACATTTGGATTCATTAATTTCACTTGCCCCTCCTCCTCCTCTTTAATGAAGTACAGCACAATGCATGCTAACATTTAATCTCGAAGACTCCAGGGTTGCACCTATGATTAATGAAAGTAGTGTCATATGTGCATATTTTATTTTTAAAAAAGGTACAAACATTTTTATGTAGCAGCTAAGTTATGGGATTTAAAATCATTGGGTTTGTTATTTTGTAAACAACACTTGTTCAATTCTATTTCAGAGTGACAGGTATTTTTTTCCACTCAATTTTGTAAAATTGCTCCAGGCAAAAAAAAGTTGACAAAGATGTAACAAAACAGATGCAGGACACATAAATTACATACATAATTTGAATTGAAGAGACCTGTATTTTTACACAATTGCAATAACTTTCAGTAATTAATATAACTTTTTTGAAGCAGAAAATCAAATCCAAAATATTCTAACAACAGAACATAATTAATTCACTGAAGTTAATTCCTTTACAGGATATCACCTATCTAGAACTGCTGCAATCATGTCACTAACACTATCAGTCTTGTTGCACTACACATTTTACCAAACAGCAAACATTGCTTGCAGTTTAAATTTGAAAATTTTTTTTTAAAGTGACATTAAAAATTGATCCTTATTGATTGGTTTAATACCAGAATATCTAAACTATCAAAAAAATTAAACTGTAACAATGGAGCACTACAAGTCACATTTTATTTCAACAGCTCAGCTGGAGGCATTGTATAGCAAAATGGTGATGCGACATAGTTATGATATGCACTACATGCATTTACTTTGGCCATTGCTCTGGCATTACCTAAAGAAAATTCAAATTAAGTACCAATAAAATGCCCATGAAACATGTAAACTGATTTTTTGTTGGGAGGAGGGGGCACAAAGATGGGCTCAAGATGCTGGAAGTAGCTGACATTTTCATTCCTGCTCATTGACCGGCAACTGCTACTCAAGTTGTATGCAAATTGCATGTTTATTTATAACAAGGACTGAACTGTTAACGTGTGGGGCTAGGGGGTGGGGGAAAGCATTATTTCAAAACCTTATAAAGACTAATCTCCAGGGTCACTGTACATGGCATGTACAGTGGGATGTTGTGGCATGCTGGTAAATTAGGCTAAAACCACTCAGTCTAAGGAGAAGCTGCAGAAAGAAGTCAGTAGAAGGATTACTAACAGTAATGTGAAATTTGTACAATCGATAAAAATTTACCGAAGGGGCTCTATTTAGTCAGAATGGTGGAAA